CTTCCTGCAGTCCCATTGCCCTGAGGCCTGTGATTCATCCCACAAACCAACATGCTATATTTTTGTCTTGTCTCAGCAAAGGCAACTTTGTTGACTCCTGCATGCATTGTCAGAACTGTTAATGGCAAGCTCTCATAAATCAGCATTCTTGCGTACATATCTTCCTTTGGGTCCAGTTTTTTAAATCAACCAGAACAAAATTTACTATTCCTCCTACTATTTTGTGTGGTCTGGTATCAGCAGACTCTTATCTAATTGCCATGCTGGTGGCCCAGAAGTATAAAATATTGAGAAAAACAATGTGAATTCCTACATGAGCCCTCTTTCTTTGGCCTGTGAGTTGATACTAGAAGTGCCTACATTCTCACAATTTCTGATAAGCCTTCTACAGGCTAACTGGCACTGCCTATTCCAGGCAAGATCTCCTCTCTGCCAGCTTCAGTTCATAAGAAGCCAAGTTCTAAATGACTTGAAGCAATCTATTAAGCATTTGACCCTATCCCAGGATTGTCTTTAGATCCCGAGGACTACACCTCTTGGAGATTCATCTACGCTACCTCCTTTTTTATTCTGTTTCATTCTTTACTGAACTCATCCCACAAACCAACATGCTATATTTTTGTCTTGTCTCAGCAAAGGCAACTTTGTTGACTCCTGCCTGCATTGTCAAAACAATTAATGGCAGTTCTTGGTGGCCTTGACCTTCTCTATCTCAGAAACCCTTTAGCCAAATCAGAGTAGCTATGCTAGATAGGAAAGGTCTCTTTATAATCCCTAGACTGAACTCCATAAGACTGCTGCCTACCCTGAATAAGTGTTGGGCAATCGTGCCCTTGGCTCTTATCAACAAAAAAAAGTTGCTGCTTGGATTCTTTGATAGATGTTTTTATCTATACAGGCAGCCCCCGGTTAAGATTTCCATTCCTAAGTCTGTCTTTAACTCGAATTTGTATGTAAGTCGGAACTCATAAACGGGCTGCCTATTACTAAAAATGGCAGGCGGTGTTCTCCTTCTTCAAGCCAAGAAACTGCTGAAGTCATGCAATGTTTTCATGAACCGCTGAAAACAGGCTGTATATTAAAAATGCATGGCTTTAGCACATTATTAATTAATTATTTATTATTATTATTATTATTATTATTATTATTATTATCCCACCTCTTTTTTATATATAACTCCAGGTGGCCAACTGCCACTGTCTTCTTCTGGGAAGTTTTCATCTCTTTCCCAGTCAAGTTTGTAATTCTATATTTCCCTGCTTGTCTCCCCTCTAAGTACTAATCAGGCTGTTCTTAAGCCCAGGCAAAATTTGCTGACCTGTGCATTAATTAATAATAAAACCTTTATAAAAGATATGTAATACAAGTGATAATACTCTGGGTCAAATTCAGAAACCAAAAAAATGCAGTCAAAAACATGGATATCAACCCAGAGTTTATTCCTCATTTTTCCAGCTACTGACTGCAGAGATGGCATTGACTTAATATCTGTTATTCACCCTTCCCTTTTCAAGTTCCAGCAGAACAGTATATTTCAGGCAGCACAGAAAAACTGGATTTTTACCAAAAAAATTCCAATACAAACAAAAATATAGCATGCCTATTTAATCTCCTATGGGTGCCTGAACATGGTGACACCCACCATGACTAAAACCTGGAATGAAATTGCTCCAACTTCTCATTCACTAAAAGTATTTCTAGTGATAGAACTAACAAAAGTTGTACCTATTGCCTTTTTCTTGTTTAATAGATGAAAGTATTGCTGTGTTTGTTTTAGGCATAAGACTTCAGTGAATATGTTATTTCATGAGTTTTTGAATTTTAAAAAATATTTTGAGTAGGCTTTAAACAAAGCAAAAACAAAATTGTCTTGATAATAAACATAATTTGATGGAGGGTGTTGTCTGATAATTTGCTAATTGAAACTTGTCCTTTCCAGTTTAGATTTGCATTTATGGGTGGTAGAAAGCTTGTAATGATGATGCAGATTTGGAACTGGGATACAAAGGCAGGACAGGGCCATGTACATATAGAAGTTTTACAGCTGTATCATACAAGCAAAGAATACAACCTACCAACTTCACATTTTATGAAAAATATCCAGACATCATTTTAAAGAGAGGTTGTATGCAGGTGCTTTCTGAGTCAATAGCAAATTATATTTTAGCATACTGAGATGGTTAGGTTGAGGCAGGCAAGGGAACCTTGTTTGTCCTGAGCCAAGTATGTGTATTTAATTTGAACTGCTACTTCAGAATAGCTGCCCAGTACTGCTAACACATAGTAATTCTGTCCGTCCTTCCTTCCTTCCTTCCTTCCTTCCTTCCTTCCTTCCTTCCTTCCTTCCTTCCTTCCTTCCTTCCTTCCTTCCTTCCTTCCTTCCTTCCTTCCTTCCTTCCTTCCTTCCTTCCTTCCTTCCTTCCTTCCTTCCTTCCTTCCTTCCTTCCTTCCTTCCTTCCTTCCTTCCTTCCTTCCTTCCTTCCTTCCTTCCTTCCTTCCTTCCTTCCTTCCTCATTATCAGAATAATGAAATGCAAAGGAAAAAAAATTTAGAAAAATCAGATAATAACAACTGAATAACACAAAAAGAAACAACTAAGCTGGAATAAAACATAAATAAAATATTTCGGGAAAACTTTTTAGTAACACATTCTCTGCTTCTCTTCTGTTTAGTTCCCCAACCACTGACCACAACCTAGATATATATGCGTTACATTAAACTTTAAACAATATGGGTTTATTTCAGTTGTCTAAATTCACCTTGCTGTATAATGTGTAGTATATATGGGAGCCATTCTTGCTTAAATTTAGTTAAACTTCTATTAATATAGAAGTTTAACTAAATTAATATATACTGTCAATTTTATCATTGCTGCATATTCTCCAGTTTTAGTCTCCCAGTCTGATAACGTTGACCAAGTTCCTCTTTTCCAATGGTGTGCCAAATTTGTTCTTGCAGCTGTCAGTATGTATCTTAGTAAATTGTGACATTGTTATGTCTGTACTATGGCTTTCTGACCTGTATATACGTTTCTCATAAGGACAATGAGATGTTCTGGGATTCCTATTTTTTGGAATACATTCCGCAGCTTGATGTGATTGTCACAATCAAAGGCTTCTCTATAATCAGTGAGCCACTATTGACTTATTTTTACACCAACAATAATGTATTGTGTTCCTCAGCCTTTTCTAAAGCCAGTTTGAACATCTGGTATATTTTTTTCCACATAGGGCTCAAATCTGCGTTGTATGATCCTAAACATTATTTTGCTAGCATGTGAAATGAAGGATATTGTCTGAATGCTCTGTTAAGTCTCCTTTTTTGGTATTGGAATGTAGATTGATGTCTTCCAA